TCAAATCAGGATGACATTGAGGTAAGCAAAATTTACGAATCGCATGTCCTTGTTCATAAATCTTTTTTGCTTCAGTAAAGTTTTGTTTAACTTCATATATCAAGCCTATATTCTTGAGTACTCTTGCGATTGAAGGATGTCCAGGATTAAGAGATCTTTTGAAAATTTTATACAATATTTTATAATTGCGTAATGCTTCATCGTATTCATGGCGATAGTAATATGCATTACCAAGATTAGTATATGTATTACCTAAACAGGGATGTCCATGAGGAAGTACTTTCGTTTTTATATCTAATGCTTTCTTCAGATAATCCGATGCTTGTTTATAATTTTTCATTTCTAGATAAATCATACCTAAATTATTGTAACACCAAGCTGAAGATTCATGATTTTCAGTAAAATTTTGCTGGAGAACTTCTAATGCCTTTTCAAATAATTCTAATGCTTGTTTAATTTCACCTTTCTTATGGTAAACTTCTCCCATACTATTATAAATGTATGCGATTCGAGAATCATTTAATTTTAAGTTCGATAGAAAATTGAGACATTCACATAAATATTTCAGACTTCGATCATAATCACCTTTTTCAAACGATATTTTTCCAAGAGAATGATAACATTTATAAACACTTTTATGTGTCGATGGTAACTGTTTTAATAATCGCTCTAAATATTGCTCAGCTTCATTAAATTTAGCCATATCGATAAGAACATTTCCGAATAAGACTAATCTTGTATTACTCGAACCATATTGTTCTTTCATATGGTGAAAGATTTTTTGTACATCACAATCATTATCACTACATAAAATCATTTTAATATGCCATCGATGATTTTCCTCATCACGTAGAACACTTTTCAGACGAAAGATTGATCCTAACATCATTAATACTTCTTGTTCGTAATTAAACCAACTGATTTCTGAAAGATCCGCAAATGGCTTCATGCCATCTTTACAAGGATCAGCTTCGATCTCAAATAAAACACTTTGTAATTTATCATCACTATTAGATGAACCCAAATACGCAAAAGCTACATTCTGACTAAAGGTTGTTGAAAAGAATGAATTAATCGAAATCAATTGATCGATTGAATTTGCTAATAATTTTACTTCTTCAATAGACATCCATTGACTTCGATAGACATTAATAGGTGATAAATATTGCCATT